ACCACGATTCCCCAACACCTTAGTACTCAATTCTCATGATTTCACATCAATACCACTCGGTTTACATAGTGTTCAAAACTCAATTTAAGAAAAAAAATGTAAAATCCTCGACTTGAGCGAAAGTGAAATATGTCTGAAAACCCCGGATCGTGCTTATATTTATTACGCCACGTCCAACATCGTAAATCACGATTTAAAAAAAAATACTAACATCAAATGAAAGCACATCATTAAGTCAACACTTTCATTCTATATATAAGTGATATAATAGATACTTAAACTACATTTGTTATTATAAGTACAACAATTTCACAACTTTTGTTATGAAAAAAATGTATCATTTGCATTCATTTTGCACAATCTTTTACCAATTGGTCGGTTAATTTCAACAATGACTATAGATTTCAAAGCTCTATCACGCATTTATACATCCATCATCTTTTTCCAAACTATCATCTGTCTATAGGCATGGGAATGGACCCCGATCCGTCGGGGAACCCGGTCCACCCGCCCCGGTCGGGGACGGGGATTCCCCGCTAAATCGGGGAAGGGGACGGGGATCCCCGTTTGTCTCAAATCGGGGATGGGGACGAGGACGGGTATGATACTCCCCGCCCCACCCCGTATCCGTTATATATATTAATTAATAAACTACATATATACATATATAATTTCATATTTTCTAACTAGGTTTATAATCTAAAATTGTTATTTTTTGGATGTTAATATGTAATAATATAGATGTCAAGTCAAAGTACAATTACTCGATAAGCTTTGTATATTACTCGATATGATTTTATATTACTCAATATCCAATATAAGACAACCTTATAAGGCAAACCCCATGATTTGACACAAAGAAATCCACCTTTCCTAAATACACACTTTACATTGTTCAAATCTTTCAACTTTTCATCAATGTGGGACAACTACAACTCAACCATAATTCACTATATGAGAATACTCAATTCTTATAGTGTCACCTCAATACTCCAAGGTTTTCTTTCATAATATATAATGATAAAGTTTTTTTCCATTTGGTTAGTTTTTATCTCAATCATGGTTATAGATTTCAAAGAAGATCATCCAAAGAAAGACAACCCTGTAAGGCAAACCCCATGAATCGACATAAATGCACCAATCCATCTTTTTATACATTTTATTTTGTTCAAATCTTTCAACTATTCACCAATGTGGAACAACTAAAACTCAACCACAATTCACCATTTGAGAATACTAATGCTCATGATGTCACCTCATCACCTCAAGGTTTTACTTACATATATATAGAGCTTGGTTCAAATACTAACCAGTTTTTTTGTGTTAACTATGTTAACCAAACTCAACCAATCATATTCCATCTTTTCATTTGGTTCAAATGTAACTCATATATTAAATACAAGGGTATTTAAGTAATTTGTCATTTTATGTAACTCCCAAATAATTAATTAGGAGTTAGAAATATGAAAATATCACTATTGATCATGATGCAATATTGACATTGGGGTTTCACACGTGTTCATGTTCTATAATTCACATTTATTTTAATCGACAGTTCTCACCTTTGACATATGAACACATCAGAAATCACACAGCCTTAGATGTCGTGATTCATAAGTGTTCATGTATATTCAAGTCACTAGATGTTCATATATTCAAGTCACTGTGTTCGGGGCCGTAACTTTTGGGTTATCAAGAAGAGGAATGAGTGGTCTTGGATCCTTCGGAGTCTCTTAGATTTAAGGCCTAACTGCCGCCGCTTCTTTTTATATGATGTGGGTAATGGCTTATCGACGCATGCTTAAGAAGATACTTGGAGCGAGTTGGGACCACTTATTCATTCTTTGTCGTATAGATTCATCAATGGGCAGGGTTTCCACAATAACTCTACGGTTTTTGATGTWATGCACAGGTTTGGTTCTAACTGGCCGGAGGAATGGATTCAACGTTATCCTCAGYTGCAAAATGTCCTTATTCCTTCTCCCAAACAAGGGGAGGATAAAGTTCGATGGCTTGATAATAATGGTGCTCGGGGTGATTTTCAGGTGAAAGTGGCGTGGGAAACTCTACGAGAGGTGAGTCCGGTTGTGCATTGGTCGAAATTAGTTTGGAACAAAGCTTTTATTCCTAAACATGCTCTCTGTATGTGGATGGCTTGCCAGAAGAAATTACCAACCCAAGATCGTATCAGTCAATGGAAGCATGAACCTCCGGATTTAAAGTGTGTGTTCTGTAAATCAGTGATTGAAACGCACAATCACTTATTTTTTGAATGCTCTTACTCTAACAGTATTTGGGAAGGCATAAAAATGGAGGTGGGATTAACGTCTRTTSMGAACATTTGGGWYGATATTCTTCACAGAGGATCCGCTCAAACTTGGAAATCTTGGTCTACAGTTCAGAAAATTGGTTTATCGGCTACGATTTATAATATCTGGAGGGAACGAAACAGAAAGTTCTTTGACAATTTCCATCATTCGGAGGATAAAGTTCTTGCGGTGATCAAGATGCAGATTCTTCATCGAATGGCTTGGAAGACTCGAAAGAAGTTTTTGAAGTCCAATGATATGTGACTCTGTGGATGGCGCTCCTTCTGGGTTTTGGGTCTTTTGGGTCTTTCCTGCCTTTTGTTTTTGGGTGGGTGGTGTTAATTTGTTTTGGTGTATTTCCCTTTGTCTTTTTTGGCTTCTTATGACTTGGTTTGTGAGTCAAAGTTGCCGTAGTTTCTCTTGCTAATTGCTTTGTTTGGTGACATTTTTTTCTGTCTTTATAAAATTGCCTGGGGTATCTTTTCCCCTTTCAGTAGATGTTCATATGAATACATACACACACACACACAAAACATGTGAAAACATGTGAAAACATGTGAACACGTATGAAAACATACAGCCCTAGATGCTTTGGTTCATAGGTGTTCATGTACATACAGCAAAGTTGGCTCCTGAATATACAGAAAATGTTCATACGGTTCACATGTTGTTCATATGTCTAATTTTTTTTGTTTGATGTGGTTTGAAGATATACACAAATTGTTCATATGTCTGATAACTCATGTATCAAAGATAGATTACTTTTACCTAAATACCCTTTGATATTTTGTTCACATATGTTAATTAAAAATATTAATTTAATAATTAATTTTTAAATATCATTAAATCACAACCGTTTATTATTCAAATTAACGGTCAAGATCGGTTAATAAAGTTAACACGATAATCTTGGTTAGCATTTGAACCAGCCCATATATATATATATATATATATACACACACACATATAAGGTATATTTCAAATGCAACCATGTCCATTTGTACAACCAATGCAACCCAGTCAATTGAGATATTTATGGAAATGCTGAGAATTCATTTATTATGATTTGAATATTTATGGAAGATGACTAGAGTTCATTAATTATGATCAATATTTTATATTAAGAAACAATCAAAACTTTTTTGAAATCACATATTTATCAAATTAAATAGACAGTTGAGATTGAGTTGTATTGGTTGTACAAATGTAAAAGGTTGTATAATAACTCATCTCTCTCTCTTTCTCTCTCTCTCTCTCTCTCTCTCTATATATATATATATATATATATATATATATACATGGGCTGGTTCAAATATTATCATATTAAAATTTTATCTTTTTAAATTTACAATTTCACAGACATATGTGAACTAAGTGGAAAAAAGTATTTATGTAATTTTCTTTTTTATTTAACTCACTTATCATTAATTGAGAGTTACAAAATCAAAAAATCTCATGATTTTTGTTAATTTAAGAACCACACACACACACACATATAGGAAAAGTCTAAAAAACCCGAATGGACTTTAGTGTTTGGAATTATTAAGTTCTTGGACAATTTTTTGGAACAAATAAATCATTGGACATTCCAAAACATGTTAAATAACTTTTTGGACTTTCTAAAACCTGTTAGATACATCCTTATGACCTATACAACTGGTTAATGTGATAAAATAATGAAAAAAGTCTCAAAAAAACCAATGAACATTCATATTTTGAACAATTAAGTCCTAAACATTTTTTGAACCAAAAAATATTTAGATCTATAAAATCAAACAGATATAATAAAAAAGTACTTACATTTACAAAAAAAATAATTATATTTAAAAAAGATTTTTAATAAAATTTATTTTAATTAAAATTAATATTTTGTCAGTGATTTTTCAAACTAAAAAAAATTACTGATAAAATTTATTTTAATTAAAAATAAAATATATCACGTATATGATTTTTCAAATTAAAAAAGAGATTTCAAAAGGTTACTGGTAAAATTTATTTTATTTTTAATTAAAAATAAAATATATTTTTAATTAAAAATAAAATATATTTTTATTTTTAATTAAAA